ATTTAATTATGGCACTGGAGGTATTGCCAATAAGTATTGTGAAGGAGATTGTGCCGAACACTATTTGTGGACATCATGATCGCATTCTCCCAAATCTAAGAGAATCAACTAAAAACCACTAGTAAGGTAATTTAGTAAAGGAGCAACATATATAAATCAAAAAGGAAGAAACAAATTTAATTAATATTTTTTATTTAAATAATGTATAAAATAGCCAGTGCCAACATGGTGCTTACCAGGCACCGTTCTATGGGTTTTACATGTACTAACCCTTGTAATCTTCACCACAACCCTGTTGGGAACCGCCCTGCCTGGTATCAGAAGCTGAAACCCCCGCCTAGGCTAAGGCTAAGGGAACACCCTTGGAACCATAAGCCAGCAAGGAGACAAAAGCTTATCTCCCTGGCAGGAATGCTGCTTCTGCTGCTTTATTCATAACTGAACCCCAAAAAGCTTGGTCGGTTAGCCAAAGACGGGTAAGATTCCCCACGGGGGGAAACGATCTAAGACAGGCACGATCACTTTGGGAGGCCCCCCCAAAAGAAGGACTTGGGGGGCTGCAGCAAAAGGGGGTGATGGACCCTCGCTCCTCGGCTTTGACATAGCCTGAGTTCTCAGTGTCTGAGAGAAAACCTCCTTGTCTCCCAGTTGCCTTAGTTCCCTTGCTCCACCTAAGCCTGAAACAATGACAGGGTGGTGCAGCTCTGTGCTGAAAAGTGCGGATTCCCCGGGGTGATCAGGCCTAAGAAAGAACATGTAAATTACTGTGAAACCTTCTTTGTTTAGAATGCTCTCAGTTGAATGAGAGGGGTCCAAGGAGGAAGTTAGTTTGTTCCTCAAAGTTTTACAGCTTAATGAGTACTGTACTTTACCTGAATTATTATGCAAAATGAGCCCAATAAAAGCAGGTATGGATGATAAATCAGCACGCTCCCCACTAGGGGGGGTTGCCATTTCGTCCCTACTTCCCCACAGAAACTAGTCTGTCTCTGTGCATGTGCTTTTTTCTCGCATGTTTTTCTGCGAGCCATCCGCAGCATTCCGTGGTCACTGCTGGCAGGTGACCCACGCAACACAACCCAATGAGGTATATACAGGGTCTGGCACAAATAACACCCTTTTTTTATTACAGAATCTTTTATTACAGAATCATAAGCAGGTAACTGTAACAAAACAATATCACACTCAAGCACACCATATGACATTTTAGGTGAAATGTTCAAATTAAACTTATAATTATAACACCCATATTATTACCCTACTAACTATTCTCAAGCAGGCATTACTTCTGCTGGACACTGTATATTGAGTTGGCCAAAAAGTTCATTTAATTTTTTCCATATGATGGCTCTACTAGTGCTTAGTTGTCTTTAACTTCGTTGGAAACAATTTGGTTAGATTATATTGTGATACCTGCCATATTGGCTTGCATTTAAAAAAAAAAATTGGTGACTCCCGGCCAAGATGGAGGCATAGGTAGACACATTGTGCCTCTTCGCACAACCAAAACATGGATAGCAACAGATTTAAAAACAAAAAAACAACCAGAACTAACAGAAAATAGAACTGTATGGAAGTCCAACAACAAAGGAGTTGAAGAAGAAACATTCATACAGACCGGTAGGAGGGGCGGAGACGGGCAGTGTATGGGAGAGAACTTGGGGCAAGGTCGTGGCTGGAAGACTGGGCAGTCCCACATTCTCGTGCAGAAAACCTAGGAGGAACAACTGGGGAGTGAGACAGACCACACAATTCAGAGTTCTAGTGCAGGGAAATAAAAACTCAAAAACCTCTGATTGAAAACAGCTGTGGGGGTTGAGACAGCAGGAGAAACTCCCAGCCTCACAGGAGAGTTCATTGGAAAGACCCAAAGTGTCCTAGAATGTACACAAGCCCACCCACCTGGGAATCAGCACCAGAAGGGCCCAATTTGATTGTGGGTATCCGGGGAAGTGACTGAGGGCTGGCAGAGAGTGGAGCAAGCGTAATTTTTCTCTCTCGGACCCCTCCCCCACATATAGCGTCACAACGCAGTGACTGTTGCCCCACCCTGCTGAACACCTAAGGCTCTGCCCCTTACTACGTAACAGGTGCCCCCAGACAAAAAAAAAAAAAAAAAGGCTCAACTGAAAGAACAGATCAAAGCTCCAGAAAAAATATAACTAAGCAATGAACATAGCCAACTTATCAGATGCACAGTTCAAAACACTGGTAATCAGGATGCTCACAGAATTGGTTGAATATGGTCGCAAATTAGAGGGAAAAATGAAGGCTATGCCAAGTGAAATAAAGGAAAATGTACAGGGAACCAACAGTGAAGGGAAGGAAACCGGGACTTGAATCAATGATTTGGAGCAGAAGGAAGAAATAAAGATTCGGCAAGAACAGAAGAAACAAGAATTCAAAAAAATGAGGAGAGGCTTAGGAACCTCCAGGAGGACATCTTTAAACGATTCAACATCTGAATCATAGGGGTGCCAGAAAGAAAAGAGGAAGAGCAAGAAATGGAAAACTTACCTGAAAACATAATGAAGGAGAACTCCCCCAATCTGGCAAAGGAAATGCCAAGATAGAGCACAAAAGGACAGATTTGAAAAAGAATCAGCAGACCTTCCAGAAATTTTTCTTAGAAAAATTGAAATTAAAACCTCAATGACTAAATTAAACAGCAGATTAGATAGCAGAAGCGGACAGTAATAAACTGGATGAGAATGTGCAACCTTAGGTATACAGCACTTCACGTGGGCCAGACACCATCTGAAGCTTCATTTAAGCTTCATGGCAGGTGCCACGGGCAGGTGGACAGTACTCTTTGCCCGTGTTATGAGCAAGGAGGCGGGCGCTGAGATGTTGTGATTTTGTTGCCCAGGAAATCAGATGTCTGTGCACTTAAACACTGTGACATATTGTCTTTCAGGAATTTATGCAGAATACAACACAGAAAGATAAAAAGATGGAAAATAAGAGACATGGAGGGATAGAATGAGAAGGTCTAGTGAGCATCCTATAGGATTTCCAGGGGGAGTGAATAAAGAAAACAGCAAGGAAGAAAGTAGTATTGGAATAAAAAGGGGAACTGAGGATTTTTCAGAGTTGATCATGATGAATGCTAAAACTCAAGTAACACAGCCCAAAGTTCTATGAATGAATACAAATGAATTCACAGCTGAAAACATAGTACTAAAATTGCAGAATACCTTATGCAGAGCAAAAACTTAAAAACCTGTAGAGGAATTTTTTCCCAGAGCAGGGAGAGACTGGGAAAGAGACCCACGGTGGGAGATGAGACGTGAAGCGGGAGTGAACGCGGTGGTGGGGGTTGGAGGCAAGAGCTGCGTGACTGGATGGGCTGCGTTTGGGGCAGGGTCCCAACCAGCGCTTGCTTCCCATTACAGGAGTGCAGCTGCTCCCGGGTCCTGGCTTACCAACTTCAGTTAGTACAGGGAGAACATTGCTCCCAGAGCGTGAGCAACTATGGGTGCCTGAGTGAATGCCAGAGAAGCATTTTGAGAATCCTGAGGCCAACCTGGACTGCGGCACTGAGGCATTTACGAAAAGCTATTCATAGTGTCTGTAGTTGTGCCTGAAATATACATGTGATTTGACTTTCTAAGAATCCAAAGCGTAATAAGCACAGAACAATCTCCCCCATCCTTTCTAGATCTTTTTTCTAGGCTAATTATAATTACTAAGGAAAGTTTAAGTAATAGTAGTAAACCCCAGGCCAAAGTTTCGGCCTCCTCTGTGATCAGTGTGGATGTCAGAGCAGACGTGTTTCTACCACAACTCTCAGATGTGACAGAAAGCAATCTTTGCTTCCGAATAGGATTTGATAACATAGAAGAAACCAGAAAATTGGGATTATCTCATTCTCTTTTTATCATATGTGCTGATGTTGCAAAACACTGAAAAAGAAAGACATGGTATCCTTCTGCTCTTACCCTCCCGTTTTAGGCTTAGCCGTGTAGGGTTTTCAGAGCTTTCCACTCGCCCACCCTGGTCTACGCAGTGCGGCTGCCAGAGGAAGTGCTGCTCCCAAACAAAGTCCTGTCTCCCCTTTCCGTCACAATTACATCACCAGCAAGGGGAAGAAATGGGTGCATGAAAAGAGCTCCCGTGTACAAGTCTGTTCTGATGGACTACTGTTTTGGTGTTAAAGTACTACACAGCCCACTGAAAAGAGTGGCCTGTTGTGGAACAAACACTTCGATAAGTGTTGTCCCAATGAATTCTTAAACTGTAAGCCTTGCAGGAAGGCACATTAACATGATTTTTACAAATAAGCGATTTGAGGGTCAGGGTTATAAAATGACAGACTGAATATACAAATGGATAATGGTTAGACCATTTATAAAAATAGAATGTTGATTCACAATCTGTAGCAATAAACACAAGAAACGAAGCCATTATCCACAGTAACCAGCCCAGAAGGTCAGCCTGCAATAAATCGGACCTATAGAAAATCTGACCTCTACTTCCGGTAACAATCCAGGAAGCCACACAATAACACCTGTGATAACTGACCCCCAAACTCTAGGATTTGATTAATAACTATCAGCTTCCTTAATTTTTGCCCCACTTCCAACTTAGGACCAACCAGAGAACACCAAATATGTCCCCTAACTGCCAATTAACAGGAGGCTCCACTTGTAGTTAATCCTGCCTACAGCTTCCCCCAGCCCAAAGTGTCCCATCAGGGCACACCTGGCGCCTCCCCTCTCCCTGCTTTAAAGCTTTCCGGCTCCTCTGCTGCTTTGGAGTGTCTCTCTCTGCCAGCATACAAGTGAGGGTGGCTAATTCCACTGCTAAAGCAAGCTCTTGAATAGCCTCTGCTTGCTCTCATATGGTTCGTCTTCATTTATTCCCACAATAACTGGCCCAGTCTTCAGTTGCTGTGTGGCAGATCAGGGTCTGGAACCAAGTCCATGCTTCTTATACTGTACTAGTTGTCTGTTTTTGGAGCCTGAGCCTCAAGCAGACACTGATGAGAGGCAGAGGCATTTGATTTGCCATAGTTTATTATATTAGTATGCATACAAAACCATGTAAATGCCACAAAGTACACAGTTTAGCCTCCATAATAACGCACAGATAGTCTGTGACATTTCAGCACCCTCACTATTTTAACATTTATATTTTTCACAGAAAGTTATAATCATACAAATAAGATGATATAATACGTTGTTTAGAGAAAGGATATTTTTGGTCCACATTTTCTATTCAAACAAACAAACAAACAAACAAACAAATGAACAAACACCTATTTTCCTCTTTGGTAAAAGAGGTTAAGTCCCCCACAGTGAACTCACAATGCAACCTCAGATAAAACCACTGCACAGGAGGTTCAGCTGAGGTCTGGGCTAACCTGCAGCTGCAGACACACACTCGAGGGGAAAAGCGTTCTTACAAAATCAGTTCAGTTCCCAGCCATCTCAGTAGAAAAAGCTCTACTTAGATTTGGCCTTGATCACTGTTGTAAGAAGACACTTCAAATGACTTTTTTTGTGTCTCAGAGTACAATGTGCTATTTCTGAAGAAAGTCATGAAAAGTGTAGGCGTCTGGTCTTAGCGATATTTTTAATCTGAGGTACAAAAGTATCTGACACAGTGATTCAGACTGTAATTTCTGTGCCACCTTCATTCAATTTGTTGGAAGAGCAGTTTTGGTTACTGTCTCAGCATTTGGCTTTGCAGATAGTTTGAAAGAGTGGATTTGCATGTGAAAGCCATGCAAGATCTGACAGGTCTGACGTGAGGAAGAAGCAAAGCGTGATGAAGGCCAATTCCTCAGGGATCCAGGTCCCTCAGGCAGGGCAGTGAGGTCCCGGGCAGGCAGAGGCCTTCTGCTGGCTGGGTGCATGCCCCGACCAGCCGCCGCACATCCCCACCGGCATGGGAGTCTAAGAAGCAGGCCGTCTCTGAGGTGGCTGTGTGTGTGTGTGTTTTTAATCTACAATCGTAATTGCTAACAACCACCCTGGTGTGCTTTTCATGCTTCAAGTAATTTCATTCCTTCCAGGAGAAGAATGTTAACAATGCTTTTAGTTCTACTTATCAAAGCAAAGGAAATGAGCCACAATAACAACAAGATTAAGTTTAAACAGACCTGCTGCTAACACAGTATCAGAGAAAATATATTTAACAAGTGAACATATTATTATATATGTTCTTGCCACAGCTGTATTCTCCCACTTACCCTCTGTGCAGAACTAAAATCTGATAAAGCAAACTTAAGTTACTTTAATTCTTGTTAAATACAACTCTGTACAGACTGCACATTTTATACCCAAGCAGCTCAATATCACAGGTAGAGAAATGAAAATGCCATCTAAAAGTTTTCATTTTTCTAGCCCAGCAAAAACCAAAAGACTCTTGCCCAAAGGGTCAGAACTGGTTGCACAACTTTGTAAACAGTATGAGAGGTGGTCTCTAGGATTCCACCGCAGGATCCTATTAAATCACACACACATGTGCACACACGCGCCCACACACACACACACACACACACACACACTTGAACCTATCTTCTTCCAGTGCCACACACAGCCCAGCGCTCAGTACCACAGCAGGTTTTTCACAGTGTGTTCACAAAAGAGCAGTCACGGCTGTGTGGTTGAGGGGTTTGAGGCAGTCTCTGGGGGCTGAGTAAGCATCATTCATCCGGGGCTGACAGTCAGGCTTTGCACACTCAGAGGTTCCGCAGCCGCTGGCTTTGGGCTGATCGTAGCCTGAGTCTGTGAGCACGGGGCTCGGTGGCCTTTGGTAGCCCTGGCTCGTGGTGCAGGATCCGGCTGCAGCCGGGGAGAAGTTGCCAGAAGACAGGGAGTGCTTGTGCGCTGGCACATGGTAGCCTCTCTGCTCAGAGAAGGTGTGAGCCCGGACCAGGTGCCGCTCCACGATGGGCGTGGCGTACTCGGGCTCCGGGTTGGTCAAGGGCAGCGCGTACTCGTGGCTGCCTGCGGGGAGCGGGCAGTGGTAGTGGCCACCGGCCTCAGCACTCGCCCCAGCCTTGTGGGCCCTGGTGTCCATGGGCCGGAAGGTGGAGCCCTTCCTGGTGACTGTCCCAGTGCCAATCATGTGGTAATCTGAAATCAAAAGAGCAGAAGGCACATCATTTGTGCAATACACGGGCACACCGACAAGTCAGTTGTTTGTGGAGGAGGGTGCTCTGCTCGACTAACTCTCTGCTGAGTGTCCAATGTCCACCAGGCGCTGAGAAAGACCAAGAAGTTAGAGGCACAGATGCCACACACAGGGGCTCACACAGCTGGACCGCTGCGTTAGGAGGCCTCCAGGGTCACAGGATCCTAGAGAGGCAGAGATTACGTTTAACCCTAATTAGGAGTATGGGCAAAAATACTTCATGGAACTCTTAAATTGGATGTTGAAATGCCACATTTTTTGGAGGGATGGAAGCTAATTAAACAACCTATTGATGTGGCCGAAGTGTGTGGGCCATGGAGTAGTTTAGTAGAATATAAAGATCAAAATAGTAGGTTGGGAACTAGTGACAATGATAAACCTCACATTTATTGAGTCATTGGGCACCATTCTAACATATTAAGATGTCAATTAATCAAATTTCAAAAAAGAGAGAGAGAGAGAGAACTTCTCTCATAGCACAATACTTTGTGCTATGAGGTAGGGACTGTTACTCCATGTTTACAAATGGAAAACTGATGCAGAGAGAGACTAAGTAGCTTTTCCCAGACCACACAGCTGGCAGCCAGTGGAGCTCGAGTTTGAGCACGTGTCCCAAGGATACACTGTGGACCACTAGCTGGAGCCTGAGAAGCACTGAGTGTGTCACTAGGGAGTCTGATTTAATTCTGAAGAAACCTATTGAGGATTCTAAATAAGAGACTGATACAGTTAGAGGTAACTCTGGAGGTGGACTGCAGAAGGAAAGATTTAAAAAATGAGAAATAAAAAGCAAAGAGAAATGAAATGCAGACGTCACAAACTAGGAACCCGCAGCAGCCTTGGGGAGGCCCCACTTGGGAGACGGGAGTCAGAGGGACGTTTTCCTGTGATGCAAGCCGGACATGAGGAAAGCGGGGCGCCACAGGCCCTCCAGAGTGAAGCCTGGGAGACTGGGATGCAGAGGTGGGAAGTCACTTGGAAGAGCAGTGCGCGGAGCACATGTGAGGAGGGCTAGGAACAATGGAGTTGACTTGGGACCCCCTGAGAACTGGTGTCGCCACCTGCCGGCAGGTGGAGGTGTCCAGCGGGTGAGAATCAGTGACTCACTGGGGACCAGGAGGGAAGTCTGAATGTGAGCAGCTGGGGGACAAATGTGCAAAGGCTGTGCTGGGAGCTCTGGAGAGGGGTGACGGCTTCTGGGAGAGACCACGGAGGAGGAATCGGGGCGAGAGCAGGTGCGCGCTGCGAGGAAGGAGGAGGAGCTGCACTGGAAGCTGAAGAAGAAGGAAAGAGAGAAGACAGACAAGGGGTTCTGCCCTCTCCTGGCTTCAACCCCCAAAGAGAACTTGAATATTCAAGAGAAAAGAGTAAGCAGCAAGATTTGGGGGAGAGATGCTCTCTTTGCCCCTGAGGCACCTCAGGCAGCCTTTCCGCGGGCCCTCCTCCAACTTAGATATGTACACGCATCGCCTGGGATGTCTGTCTGGCTCCGCAGGCCCAGGGAAGGGCCTGAGAGCCTGCATTTCTAGCAAGCTCCTCTATGCTGTTGCTGCTGCTGCTGCTGCTGCTGGTCCTCTGAACACACTCTGAGAAGCAAGAAGCTAGAGCAGTGCTACCACCGAGTCTGGTCTGTAGAGGCCCACATGTCTGAAAACTGTTTATAACAAATCTGCAAAGAGACAAGTATGCAAATTGAGAGCAAGTGTTAAGAAACTTAACAGCCATTTGAGAGAGTAATTCTATATCTCTTCAGTCTAATTAAAAGAATTAGAGCTTTGTATTTTGTATATTTTTATAAAAACTTCATCATTGCTACTAATTTATGTTGTATTTTATGAAAGTATTAGTCTGGATAGATTAGAAATTTCAAAAACAAAAGCAAAAATATGCATCTTTTCCCACAGATAGTGTGAGAAGCTTGACTTTTTTCTTTTTAAAGATGTTATTTATTTTTAGAGAAGGGGGAAGGGAGGGAGAAAAAGAGGGAGGAAACATCGATCAGTGTTGCCTCTTGTACACAGGCGCCCCAACCAGGGACAGAACCCACAACCCAGGCACGAGCCTGGACCTGGAATCTAACCGGCAACCTTTCGTTTTGAGGGAGGACGCTCAACCAGCTGAGCCACACCAGTCAGGGGAAGAAGCCTGACTCTTGACGATCGCTTATCAGGGACCCCTGGGCCATTCTAACACTGGACAGGATTTTCCATCTCCTATCTCCTCTTCTTCAAGGGCAGCAGTTATACTAAATTCATCTTTCTAGTCCCCTTTTCCTAGTGCCTTAACGAAAGCCTTAGTAGCAAAACCAGATTAATTAAGAGCTTCCAGCTTTTAGTGGTACTTCAGGGTCATTGCTTTGGGTGTCATTATACCCCTGAAGGTGTAAGAGCCTCTGCTGTATGGGACTTCTGAGAAATAGCTCAGTGTCAGTTTATAACTCTGTACCGGATGCAGACAGAAAACTTCACACATTACTAAGTTACAGGACCACATGCAAACAATGGGATTTTAGTCTTATTTCTCTCCTGGTCGCCCCTCTCCCACAAGCAGCTGTCACAGAGGTTTGACACTTACCGGCCATATCACCTGTGATGAGGTCTAACTTTTGTGTCATCTCCTTTTCATTATCATAGCTGATCGTAAATTCAGCTGACTGATGTCTGGCAAAGGGATATTTAATCTGCTTCCAACAGTCTGGAATAGAGATAACAGGAAAAAAGTAGTATCTTAGAGGTAAAATGCACAATCTCCACAGCTCCATGATGTGCTCCTCCTGAACTTGAGGTCAAGCTGCTTTCTGCCAGCTGACCTTGTGATACATTCACAGGCACAGTGCCTCAGGTGTGTGCGGGAGAAACAGCATGCTGAGATTGGCTGCAACCACAGCAAACACTATCCCAACTATGCTTTCCACTGTGCCTTTAAAATGTACCTGTGTACCCATCAGGTCCCAGAGTTTCCCTGTGTTAGACCACCTGGCCATGGTTTCCCGTGGCATTTGTGACCCAGAGGAATTAACACAGCTGGCTGCTTAGACCCTGCGGAGGTGAAGTCTCAAGCTGTGTCTGAGATCCTCAACAACCTTCCCCACTGCCCTCTCTCTGGACTGCTGCTGACACATTGCTTAGGCAACCTGTGTCCTACATATTCTCTGAAACCTGAATGTGAGTCCTGCCTAGTCCTTCTCCCACTTTTTCAGCAAAATACAATGGCAGCCTGCAGATGCTGAGTGTTGGACAACATTAAGTTCACAGCTGGAGCTTTTATAACTTCTCCTTGATGATAGGCAATGTGTTGGTCTAAACTCCAATGGCAAAAAAAAGAGAGAGAGAGAAAAAAGCAAAAGGAATGTTGATAAATGATGGGATGATGTTGAACAAAAGTGAAAGTAAACTGCCCCTGATGACTCTGAATTAAAAAGACAGGATGCAATATTTTCCTTTCTTATAAATTTGCTAACAAAGGCTACAGAGTTTATTCTGTTTAACTATACAGGCGTGGGCCACAGACCTAATGGTGCTTTTAACCAGCAGATCCTGTCCCTTCCTCAAAGACAGAATACAATTGTGAACAGGGGTTTCAACCAACCTGTTTTCTGAGCTTTAGCGGATGCATAAGGATTTCCTTTCTTCTTCCTCCTATCAAGACAAAAAAAAGTTTTACTGAAAGAGTTTCTCAGTACTGGTAAGTACTGTTTATAAAAGAATACTCGATGCTCTCTACCTCTGTCTAACTTGTAACTACAAGTTGACATTTTATCTTGGAAGAAGTAATGTTGCTTTTCTACGTGAACATTTGAAGAGTAGACGTTTTCATCTTGTGATTGTTTACATAATCAGAGAAGAAATGTAACAATGTGGAGTCACATACTTTCTAAGGGCAGCAGAGATCCCCATCCCAGCGACCAGCAGGACAAGGAGGAGCACCAGCGGAGCTGCAACCATCGCGATGTTCACTCCTGCCAGGGGAAGCATGACATTTCAGCAGAAATGACCCGCGGCCACGTTTCCCCATCTAAAGCTCAACATTGACTTGAAAGGTCTTCAAAAGGTTAACACATGGGGAAAACGAACACAGGCAAGGCATTTGCTGGCATTGAAAAGCAAAAAGAGAGAATTCAAAATTCTGGCTGAGGTTTAGGAAAATAAAATTTATCCTCACCTCCCCTTCCTGCTTCCAGGCAGTTTTCTTTTACTTAGTTTAATTTTTTAAATCATTAAAATTTTTTTTAGTTACAGTTGACATGCAATATTATATCAGTTTCAGGTGTTAAACATAGTGATTAGACATTTATATAACTTATGAAGTTATCACCATGCACAGTGATAATAATACTATTGACACTTATTTTGTATGCTGTACTTTACATCCCCCGGACAGTTTTTATAACTGGCCATTTGTACACCACTATGCCTCCCCCTTTTCACCCACTCCCCCAAACCCCGCCTCATCTGGCAAGCATCATTATGTCCTCTGTATCTGTAAGTCTGTGTCTGTTTTGTTTGTTTGCTTATTTGATTTTTTAAGAGTCCACATATAAGTGAGATCATATGGTATTTGTCTTTCAGTGTCTGATATGTCACTTAGCATAATACCCTCTAGATCCATCCATGTTGTCGCAGATGGCAGGATTTCATTCAAAAAGGCAGTTTTCAACGTTTACTCCGAGTTGTTGGTTGGACCATATTAGACTCCCAAGTCAGAACTGAGGGGGAGTTTTAAAGCTGTCCCACCCAGCCAGGAGCTATTCAGACAGGTGAAGAGTTTCAGCAGTGTGGAGCTCTAGCTTGGCTCAAGCAGCCAGTTCCCCCTGACAGCGGCCAGGGCTGGACCTGGACAGTAACAGAGGCCTGGAGAGCGGGAGCTTCTCATTGCCGGAGCTCTGGAGCTGTGGACTGAGAGGAAGTACAGCCCAATGACCTCAAAGAGCATTTCCACACTGCTGTGCAAAACAGCAGACTGGGTCTTCCACAGCTCTTTCTGCTTTTAAAAAAAGGGTCCCTTGGCCAGGCACTCCAGAAGGCCCCAAGCTTGTAGAAACTATACAGCCTAAAGGAGAAATATTTGTTCTTTACCCTTCTTTATATATGATCCTTGGGAAGAACACAGAGAGAGACAACCAGGAGTGGAAAGGTTTATGAAAGAAAGGATAAGGAACTTAGAAAGGAACCAAATTTATATAAATATCCCTGGTGTTATTTATAAAAGTGGAAATTTGGGAAAATTTAACAATTTAAACATCTAACAATAGGGAAACCCTTAACTAAATAATCATATGTCCATATAAAATACTATAAATATATTAATAATTGTGTTTTTCAACTATTTAACATTGAAAAGTGCTCATAATGCAATGGTAAGTGAACAATACACACTACAAAATGGAATGTATGGTATGCTATCATTTTGTCTCAAAGTTATAAACATAACTATAATAGATCAGATGCAGTACAATTTGGTGATTATTTTTTCTGTTTTATTGTCTATGCTGTTACAGATGTTCCAGTTATTCCCCCATCACTCCCATTACCCAGCCTGCCTCCCACTTCCACAGTTAGTCCCCACCCCAGTATCCACACCCGTGGGTCCTTCGAAGGTGTTCCTCGACTAGTCCCTTCACCTTCTTTCAAACAGTCCCTGCCCCTGCCCTCCCTTCTTACAGCTGTCAGTCTGTTCCATGTTTCTATGTCTTTGGTTCCATTTTGCTCATTAGTTTATATTATTCTTTAGACACCTCTTATAAGTGAGATCATATGGTATTTGTCTTTTATTGACTGGCTTATTTCACTTAGCATGATAGTCTCCAGTTCCAACCATGTTGTCACAAAAGGTGGGAAGTCCTTTTTTCTGCTGTGTAGTATTCCATTGTGTTTTTTAATCTACTCGTCTACTGATGGGCACTTAGGCTCTTTCTAACTCGTGGCTATTATAAATAGTGCTGCTATGAACATAGGGGTGCATGAGTTCTTTTGGATTAGAGTTTGGGATTCTTAGAGTATATTCCCAGCAGTGGAATCACTGGGTCAAAAGGTAGTCATCTATTGATGCTGATATGTAGCATTTATATTTATATTATTTATATTTCTCTAATATTTCCAAATTTTATAAAATTAATAGGTAAGTTATTTTACATTCTGAAAAAATAAATGTACTTATAATGTTTGTTACTGGAATAAATGATACACTTTCATATTTAGAATTTAAAAAGTATAAAAAGGAATAGAATATAATGTCTGTCTCCTACCTCTGTTTCTCCTCCACAAAAAGCCAAATTATGTTTCCTGACATTGTTCTAGAAATACTAGAATGAATATATATATTTACACACATATTAGAGTGCTAATAGACTGTTCTATACCTTGCTTATTTACTTAAGTTGTCAATTTATGTCAAAGAGGTTTGTAAATTACTACATTCTTTTTAAAATTTTTTTGTTTCTTTAAAAAATATTTTATTTACTTATTTTTAGAGAGGGGAAGGAAGAAAGAAAGAGAGAGAGAGAGAAACATCAGTGTGTGGTTGCTTCTCACGCACCCCCCACTGGCCTGCAACCCAGGCATGTGCTTTGACTGGGCATCGAATTGGTGGTCGTTTGGTTCTCAGGCCAGCACTCAATCCACTGAGCCACAGCAGCCAAGTCTACTAACACATTCTTTTTTGTGCCTGAAGAGTATTCCATTGTATGGATGTGCTATTATTTGTCCATAAAACATTTACTTAGTGTTTAAAGGGTAAACACTATCTTTTGTACGTACAATACTGCAATGAGTAGTTGCAGATATACACCATTTACACATGAACAGATACCTCTGAACCATCTGTTTCTGGCCATTTATATGACAAAGAAAAACATTTGTTGAAGATACTGTAATAGTGGTTGGAGTATCAGTTACACTCTTGAGGACATCATAAAACAATAACTACTCTACCTGTGGGCATTTCTTCAAAGGGGATGAGTTTTGTGATCGTCTCATCTTCTCTTATAGTTGAACCAACAGAATTTGAGTTGGATTGGCGCCACACCAGTGAGTCATTACCTGGGAGGGGAGAGACATTGCAAAAACCACATCAGTGACAACGATTTATGAAAGGACATGACCAGAATTGAATTACTTACTGACTTCCCCTGAATCCTACTTTGTGTAATCTGGCAACCAATGAGTTCCACTTTCAAGGCTATCCTCTGGTGCCACGTCTGGGGGACAACCCGCACGTATCTGGCCACGATGGGAGGGATGAAATTGTTCGTCACTGGATCATGAAAATTGAAATTGCCCCGAAACACCTGTGGAAATAGGTAACTTTCACCTGAAGATTCTATTAGTTAGTGTTTAGGTCTTTATCAATCCTTTTGTACCTGGTTACATGAAACCAAAGTCAGGATTCTACGTCTGTTGCATTTTTTTTAGACACCCGATATCGAAGATACAAGACTTTGCAAAGAAAGGCCAAGTTATCTAAGGTGGTGCTGGGACCCGGTTTTCTGGGAACTCACTCATGAAAATACTTGGAGGCTTGATCTCCTACTCAGTTCTTTCTTCCAGAGTTTCTCTTACCTTTTTTTCGTTATTGACGAGTCCTCTGTAGGTCCTCCACTTGGAGTTGTTGTTTTTGAAGTTCATCACAAAACTCTTAACATAAAAGTTGAAATTTGGCTGTGTGGATTCGGTGGTCCTAATTCCTTGTAAGAAAAATATTATTTATAGGTAGCTTTAAAAACATGTTATATATAGCATATATTTTAACTTCATGTTTCTATTTTTCCCCCTCATTTGAAATCGCAAATCATTTCACAGGCCAGCTTTTCTTATCTGCATTTAGAAACCTGATCACAGGTGAGTGTGTTCACATGGAGGCACGCCACATAAAAGGTCGGCCCTCTCCCCCATACACTCACATTTGCAACCCACACCTGGGGTTCTCCCACAGAGACCACGTGCAGGTTAAGATGTGGCGCACTTTGAGGCATCTGTGTGAGCCAGAAATATAACTTCAACTGCGCCGTTTTGCATTTGTGAAACTAACTGCATTTGTGTCAGTACCTGTTACTTTCTTTTCCTCCCCCAAATCTATCTCCAGCCACTCTCGCTGTTTGTGGTTCTTGCTGCTGTTCCCTGACCCTTGGTCCTGAAGTTGGGTTTGGCCAGGAGACCAAAGAACTTGTTCTCCAAACCCATCGATCCACTGCCCATGCGTTTCCAAACTTAAGGGTTTGCTGCAACCTAGAAAAAAAGAGCAGTAAAATGTTTCAGATACCAAAAAAAAAAAATTAAAGCAAAAAAAAGTACCCCATCTCACTCAGAGTTAGTCAGTTGTTTTATTTCCCTTATGATAGCAAATCAACTGTTTAATTACTGGTGTTTTAATGATGCAGATTTGCACTGGACTTATTTGTACTGCAGTATCTTGAAATTGTTGCTGCTCCTCTTTTCAATAGACCTGATTGAAGTCACATCCTGTATAAGTGCCATCTCTTTGTCCCCACTGTAGACTTTCCTTTCTAACCTAAATTCGCTGTGATTTTAAGAAAGTGCAAAGTGTTTTAAAGGTTTACAATGCTGAGGTTCTTCTCACTTGACACTTTCTATGCCCCTGCAGAGCAAGTACGTCAGGTGCTCTGAAGAGCAGTAAATTGTGTCTGACGTTCACCCACAGGACCTTACTATACCATGCCCAAGGCAATGTGGAGGGACCAAATAAAGGCCACACTCCTCTTCTTGGGCAGAAAAGACATACTCATAATGTTCCTCTTGAAACATTCTACTTTGTGAGGGGGAGAATATTTACACAGACTCTATGCCATGATGGAGGGGATAAAAGCCTTTATTTTACATACTCAGATTCAATAACTTCACTCAAGAAACCTACATATCCAATTGTACTATTTAAAAGATTTTCTATGTTAAAATCTAAACATAAAGGAATTTATCTTAAAATAAACATCATTTTAAATTTTCACTCTCTTGGCAAAAATTTGGGAGAGCTTAGATTATAAAGAAAAATAGTTTCTGCTTAATATCAGTTTGGCTTCTGGTCTTGCCTCTTTTTAAGTCACACCATACTTGGTGATGTGTGACCTGAAGGAAAAACAAACAGAATCCTTTAAACTACACCATCTGAGGGATGTGGAGAAATAAACTAACCCTGAAGATTTTAAACTATCAAATTCTTAAGGAAAGCATGATCCTTACCGTTGGAGGTAAACAGAAACCGCCTGTCCGACAGGGAGCCACTGAAACGGGAAGCAGAAACGTGAGGAACTGAGTTGCTTCACTGAACTCGAATGACTGACACAGAGCTACGGCACAGGGCCCCCAGCGCCTCCCCACACCCCCGTGACCGTCACAGTGCCCCAGCAAGGCCACTGCTACCATCATCATCACTGGCAATTTATAGGTCAAGAATATCAGGCCTATGGAAGGTAAGCGACTTTCCTATATTCATACAGGAGACAAGTGAGCAGGACTCTGAGACAGGGCTTTTGAATCAAAATCATTGTATTGAAAAGAAATGTACAGGTATACCGTTTCAGGAACAACCTTAAATCTAATTAATTAATATAAGATGAGAGAGGCAGCAAGGATCACGGCCCTGAAGATACTTCCTTTGATTCAAGAGTCACCATAAATGTCCCACGCATTGTCAACAGTCAAGGACCATTGAGTGAAATGAAGAAAACCAGTCACTCAGAAGAACAGCACGTCATTTGCTACCTGCTTTCTCTGAAGACTTCTATACCCCTTTTCTCAGGGGTCCTGCCCTAGCATGTTGCTCTGAACAGCCTCAGACTGTTCTTTCTCCGATCACACTCCTACCCAGTGTAGCAACCAGCACCAGGCCATAAACCAGCACCAGCTTCTAGATGTCAAGGTGTAGCTGTCATTGGGAGAAAATTGAAAGCATTTCAATGACTGGCCTGAACTGGACCTCACCACCGTAAGACAGTCTTCATTTCATCAGCCTTGATCTTTGGGCCTCGGGAGCCCTGCTGTTCTATAGTCGGTATAAATCTCATGGGAGAACTTGCCAAATCAGCTTTATTCTGCAGTTGTCTTCTTTGGAAGAGATGAGATTCCTAAGGCCTAACACTGTATTTAACTTTTTAAAAATCCATCACCAACTCAGTGGTGTAGAAATGCATAGAATGAATAGAAAATTCAGAATTCTCAAGATTAATCTTCTGTTCATAGTACTTACTATATTAGATACTAGAGGTAAACACAAAAAGGTAGATAACACTATATGTTCCATTATTTAACAAACTGAGAATATTATTTTAAAGGTTTAGCTCTGAGATGTCTGGTTGAGATGATGGTATAGGCAGACATGGCTCACCTCTTTGCACAACCACATTAAAATTACAACTAAAATATAGAACAACCATCACTCAGAACCACCAGAAATCAGGTGGAATGGAAGTCTGTCAACTACGGAATTAAAGAAACCACATCAATTCAGACTGGTAGGAGGGGCGCAGACGTGGAATGTGCTGGTCTCATACCTACATGAATTTTTATTCAGAAGGGATATCTCAGGAGTAGGAGTCCCAGCCCCACACCAGGCCCCCCCAGCCCAGGGTTCCAGTGCCAGGAAGATAAGCCCCCACAACTTCTGACTATAAAAACCAGTGAGGATTGAGTCAGTGTTAGAAACTTCTGGAACCCCAAGCAGTTCCTCTTAAATAATGTACCTACTCAAGAACTCATCTACTCAGACTCACTGCCTCTGAGGTCCAGCAGCAGAGCAGCAGCTTGAAAATCACCAGTGATATACATGGAGAAGCTGAGGTGTCTGGCATCAAGACAAGCAGAAGCCATTGTCCCTTTGCTAAACCCTCCCCCAACAGAGCCAGCAAGCTGGTGCCATATCTGAGACTCCATTAATCCGGCTAACACTATTTGACCTGCCTTGGAGATCCCCAGAGATCTGCCCCATACAATTTATGGGCATATCCAAACTGTTTTTCCAAATGAATGACTGGTCTTGGCTCATGCTTCATAACTTCCTAAATCCTATCAAACAAGCAACAGCTGGCTTCAGTGAGCCCCAGACCCAGCACTAGCAGCAGCCAGCCTAGATTCACAGCTTGGCTTTCTCTGGGAAACCTCCAAGTTCAGCGCAAATGGCAACCATCTCAGATAGCTTTATAGCTCAGACAGGGTACTCTGGGAAAAATATAGGTGGGGACTGACCCTGGCCTGCACCACCTTGGAAACCCCAGTGCCTGCACATCCAGCGGACAGCTACAGACCACACTGGAGCAGCACCACCCTGCCCCTGCATAGCTTATCCTCTATGGAGGGAGGAAGTTGGTGGTCAGTGATCACAGCCAGTCCTTGTAGCTGGTTGGCCTGGGTAAATCTCTCCTATTAATCTGCCAAGGGTCAACTACAAGAGGAGGGTGTACTCAGCCCACATGAAGGGTATACCTCAAGTACCCAGCATGGGTGATAGTGGAGGCTGTGCCACTGGACCCTACAGGACACCTACTACATTAGGCCACACACATTACTAAGACAGAGTCAAAGCAGCTCTACCTAATACATAGAAACAAACACAGGGAGGCTACCAAAATGAGGAGACAAAGAAATATGGATCAAATGAAAGAACAGATCAAAACTCCAGAAAAAGGGTTAAACGAAGTGGAGATAAGCAATCTGTCAGATGCGTAGTTGAAAACACTGGTTATGAGGATGCTTAAGGAACTTACTAAGGACCTCAGCAGCATAAAAAAGCTCTAGTCAAAAATGAAGGTTACACTACTTGAAATAAAGAACAATTAAAAAGAAACAACAGTAAAGTGGATGAAGGTGAGAATCAAACCAATGATTTGGAACATGAGGAAGAAATAAACAACTGATCAGAACAACAAGAAGAAAAAGGAATCCAAAAATATGATGATAGTATAAGCATCCTCTGGGACAACTTCAAGAGGTCCAACATTTGCACCATAGGAGTACCAGAAGAAGGAAAGAAAGAGCAAGAAATTGGGAATTTATTTGAAAAAAAAATAATGAAAGGAAACTTCCCTAATTTGGCAAAGGAAGTAGACATGCAAGTCCAAAAAGCACAGAGATTCCCAAACAAGATGGATGCAAAGAGACCCACTCCAAGACACATCATAATTAAAATGCCAAAGGTTGAAGATAAAAAGAGAATCTTAGAAGCAGCAAGAGAAAAGTAGTTACCTACAAGGAAGTTTTCATATGACTACCAGCTGATTTCTCAAAGGAAACTTTACAGGCTAGAAGGGATTGGTAAGAAATATTCAAAGTCATGAAAAGCAGAGATCTACAGCTAATATTGTTCTACCCAGCAAAGCTATCATTCAGAGTCAAAGTGCAGATAAAGAACTTCCCAGATAAAAGAAGCTAAAGCAGCTCATCATCACAAAACCATTATTATACGAAATATTAAAGGGACTTATTTAAGAAAAAGAAGAAGATCAAAACCATGAACAATAAAATAGGAAAAAATATTTTCTATCAACAACTGAATCTAAAAACCAAACTAAGCAAACAAGAAGAAGAGAGACAGAGTCATGGATACAGAGAGCGTTTTGATGGTTTCCTGGTGGGAGAGGGGTGTGGGGGAATGGGTAAAGAGGTGGGAGATTAGGAAGTACAAAGAGGTAGCTACACAGTAAGCAAGGAGAGGTTAAGTCCAGTATAGGAAACAGAGTAGCCTGAGAACTAACATGCATGACCCGTGGACATGAACAATGGTGGGGGGGTGCCTGAGGGAGTGGGGTGCTGTGTGGAGGGGGCAAAGGGGAAAAGTCAGGACAATTGTAATAGCATAATCAATAAAATATAATTAAAATAAATAAATACATTTTTATTAAGATTTATTTAGAGCCTTTCTTTGACTGAATTGTCCATTATCTCTAATGTTCCTGCACTCAGTATTTCACTTGAAATGTGGCTCAAATAAACCCAAAGAATACTGCTGCAACCCCAACAGCCTAAACTTGTTCCCACTGCTAGGAAACACTGAAATATTTATTTTTCGTTGTTGTAGAAAAAGAGAAGTTATGGTAAGAAGGATGACTCTGGAGTCAACACAGAGAAGATGTCCGGGAAGGCTCAGTGTTTAACAGCTCCTTCCTGGCTTTCCTCCACTATTAGCGGAAATGTGTTTTTTCCATTTCACTCTGCTGAACTAATTGAATACAGCCATGTAAAGAATTCTATAGGTAAGTAAGTGTCCTCTTAAAAAAAAATGCCCTAGGGAGGCTGAGGATGAGGCTCTCACACATTAGGGTGAAGGAGTTGGGTCAGATTCCAGGAACGGCCAGCCTTCCCAGAGGGCCCCAGGAGCAATCAAGAAGGCTCCGATGTAAACACAAAGGAAAGCCTTCCCGGCCTGTGGTTTGAGCCCCATCCTCTGTGTGAAGGCGCCTCTTCCTGATTCCGTTCTGGTCTCCTCAGATCCAGGAAGTAAGCTGACCCCGGATGAACCCCAGAAGGGCCCTGGGTGTTTACTTTAGGGACTCCTTCTTCCTCAGCTGCAATGCTTCCTTCTGTGTTTTTTCCTGAACACCACACAATCATGTGTGGGAACAGAAGTTCAATGACCGCATGTGCACTGGTTCCCCCACAGCAAAACAACACAGATAAAAACAACTGCTCCCTGCAGATTCGGGAATCCTAATGAGTGAGAGAGTCTGTATTAGCTTACGGTTTCCTCCTCTCGCAGTCCAGAAAGTCAGTGCAAAATCACAGAGCCGGAAGGGAGAAGGAACCTTGAAAGAATTCTGGATTTTGTGTCTGCTCACACCAACACAGAAATAGGAAAACCTATTCAAATAACTGTATGGAATGTGAAGCAAAATTTTCCTAATTCATTAATGATTCAGAATTCTGTATTGTTTTTTTTTTGCATTGAAATTTAATTTCAAATTATACAAAGCAACTTCACATGTATTAAGCTCAATTGATATCGCAGAAGTTATTGAGAATATAATGGTTACCATTATTCAATAGTTTTACTAATTTTTCTTCAACACTAAAATAAAATACAAGTTAACCTTTTTAGTATCCTATATTTACAAAAGAAGCATTCAGATGTATATAAACACAGACAAGAGATTCCAAAAAAACAGATTTAAAGCCAAAGTCCCCTTTTTCATTCATTTTGAAAGGGGCAGCGCCCATCAAATCTAGGCCACAGCCTGAGGCCTTCCTGAAATAGCACCTGAGTCTCAATAGAGAAAAAACATAAAACTCATAAAAAGACAAAGATCCTCAAAAGTCAGGGTCAAGCTAACATTTAAAACTTTGGTGCCTAAGCAATCACTTTATGCATGAACATATATAATACATATATAAAATTTCATTTATATATAGTACATATATGTGTGTATATGTATACGCATGCATATAAATATATATATGAGGTATGTCCAGAAGGCATCCCACCATGTAATAATGACAAATAGAGACATTTATTGAAGAAGATACGAGAAACATTGTACATAGGACGATGACACCTCAGTCCCCTTCAAAGTAGGCACCTTGGTACCTCACACAGTTCTTTCAGTCACCATCAGCTGCCCCATCGTATTTTCCTCATTCTTATCGATAGTCTGAAATCTCTTCCCTTTCAAAGGTGATTTTAGTTTTGGGAAAGCCAGAAGTTGCAGTGTGCCAAGTCTGGGCTGCAGGGGTGCTGAGTCACCTGGATGACTTGATGTTTCGCCAAAATACACTGCATGAGATGTGACGCATGAGCTGGAGTGTTGTTGTGATGAAGCTGCCGATCAACAGCTGCTCATAGCTGTGGGCTTTTGAATCATCCAAATAGTTTCCATGGAGGAATGTTTAAGCTTAACTCAAAATCTGATACAGATTCATTGCTCTAGTTGCTCAGTCAATTTGAAGGCCACGCAATACATATGCTCACTCAATGGCATCTACTGCCCCCACTGACCAGTACAGTGAAGTTGTTACTGTACACACATGTGCATTCCAGTCCACTCTCCTTGGCTGCCAATTTACATCAACGTCACACAAACCATTCTCATTTTATTAACAATGGCTGGGCAGACCTCATTATATATAATGTTTGGTTGAGTAAGGATTTTAGATTCTAAAGGCACCTGCAAGCTTTTAGATATTAACTTTGACACAAATTTAGAACTACTTTGACTATGAATGTTCAGATAGTGTATAAAAAAACAGTTTAGGGCCCCTTGTTGTAAAAAATCCCACCCAGAGGGGAAAGCAGATAGGAAGGTCAGGCAGGCGGAGGAGCGTCTTTTCTTTTCTTCTCATACGAGGCGATGAGCCTGCACAGCTGAGTGTGTGGTGTGTCCTTGGTGACGACTGGCTGGCTCTCGTAAGTCACACACCACATTGCTTGCAATGCCTGTGAAAGGACTGCACTGGAACAACCTCTCCAGTTACTCCCAGAGCACCCCGAAACTCAGAACTGCTAGTGGGAGTGCTGTCTTTTCTCCTCTGCCTCCCGCCAGCCAGCCTGCTGGAGGGGAGCTGGGTGTGGGCATGGTGTGCTGACGGTCACCACGACTCCTCTCTGGCATCTCTTGCCAGGTCTTCACTCTACCACTACATCCCTCTGAGCCTGGGGCCTACCTTCCATCACACCCAAGGCTTGCCTTCTTCATGAAGATGCCTAGCAAACTTCTCACCTGACGTCAGCCACTGCATCCCCTCTTCAGCTGTAACAGAGTGAAATGCTCGGTCTCTGACTGCATGGTGTTTAGGCCTGCTTTGTTTCTGGGGCCTTCAAGCTAAAAGCTCCTGCTTTGCCTTGCATATAAAAAGCTCATCTTTAGAGGAATTCTGCCTGATGCTTGAGCTTTAAAAACATAGCCCTCCTACTTCCCCTTCCCTTGACATAAAAAAGAAGCCTGAATTCTGTACTTTCTTAAGGTAGATTTGAGGGTTAGGTCTCCCATCTTCTTGGTTGGCACCTTCTCAACCCATAAACCTTTGCTTACTCCAAAGTCTGAGTTTTGGCCTTTGGAAACATCACGCTAGCAGCTTTGGGTGGTAACTTGGTGAGCTTAGGCCAACATCCCCAAACCCAGAAATTAGTTTTTATCTCAAAGTTTACTTGTGAGTTCATAAATTGGTTCTTTGAAACATAAAATACATATTCTTATAAAAATAATGTTATCACCTGTGTTCAGAATCCCTATTTGACCCACAATATTACTAAACTATAATACATTCAAATAAAAAGTAGTAGGGAGAGAAAGAAATGATTGTATAACTTCCTCAAAATGACATCAGAGTCACTGTATTTATACTAACTTGGAAACCCATCTACTCTCTGTGTTGTGACTTTTTTACCAGATAAGATAGTCTACAATCTATTGTGAGAATGGAACAGTCAAATGTGATCATGTTCTTTCTGCATGCAAGAAGGGGCTGGAGCTAAATGGTGGGGACAGGAGAGTGATGCCCAACTAGCCAGTGGGAGAAGACATAGGTCCTCATCTACTTTTTCCTGCTTTGGGATCCTCAACTGCCTATAGCCTCAGTTTTGTGCTGTATCCTCAGAACCAATTCCATGTGACAATGTATCAAAATAACCAGAGTTGCAGTAGTGGGGAGATATTTCCAAGGGCAGATAGAGAGTGAAGGAGAAAGATAAACAAAGTGGCTAGAGGAGTACTTTTCCCTCACTAGGCATCCTTCCAAGGGGGGCCTTCCTCTGAACCATGCCTGTTTATAATGTGGACATCTGGACCACGGGGGGGGGGGGGCTATATTTAGTCCTAGGGGCTCCAGTTTCCACTCCAGAAGTTGAGAGAACCCGAAAGCTTTAAAGGCTGAGGCTGAAACACTTAAAGTAACTGACATATTCTTATGAAGCTACAAGAGCAGAGAATAACACCAAAGAGAACAGTTCACAACATTAACAAAAGTCCTCTTTCTTTGCTTCCCAACTATTATTTACCATGAAGAGATTGTCTCTAGGAATCTTCTGGGGAGCTCTGTAGTAAAAGTGGATTTATTTCAGTACCATAATCTCCCTTCAGTATCTTCAGTAATGTTGGAGATTAACCAATAAATCACTGAAACTGAAAAAGCTAAAAAGGAATACATTTTTTGTTCTCTCCCACTGAGGCAAGTAGAGATACTCCTCTGCCTGGGGACTTCAGATGGGTCCTCTTTCAATGTACTTGTCAGCATAACCAGTGAGCTTTTTTCTTGCTGCATTTACCTTCCACACAGACACCATAAATTCTGCTCTAACACACATATTCTTCTCAGTTGACAAACCCTTTGTATCTATCACATGCCTGCTGCTCTTTCAAAATTGTGAGCTGATGATGCCTTCACATTACCTTCCACTCAAAACAACAGGCAAAGTACTTACTCCCTGGAGAGCACGCCATTGGCCAGGATCCCTTTGTAGCGACTTATCCCTTTGCGCTGAAGCACGCTGATCTGACCTCCCAGTTCATCTGCAATTATTCCGGCATGGACGGCCGCTTTGCACAATAAAGAGTTCTGAAACAAGGCAACGCTGTCACTCATAGCTTACTCAAGAATACCTTTAAAATATAGTGCAAGTTTTCCACTGTGTTTTAACTTGTGGTCAGGATCCCTAACTGACCCATGACATTGCTTAACTATAATTCATTTAAATAAAAAGTAAAATGGGAGGGGGAAAAAGCATTCAGAGAGAACTATCTCAATGACATCAGAGGCACCACAGTATGCTGATTAATTTGGGATCCTACTCACCAGGTAGTTAAGAAGGTAATATATAGCAGTAGTGTTTCCCCAGTGAATAACGCCTCCTGGTGGCCGTGCCCTAGTGTAGTTACCCCCCCACACCGACTCTGAACTGGCCTTGTGGCTTGTCTGGTGCTGCTGCATGTGTCACTGAGGCCATCTTTGGCCCTCTGGCCCTCGGTGTCCTGCCACATGGCTACAGCTGCAGGAGCAGTTCTAGGCAAGGGGAGCTGAAGAGCAGACCAGCCCAGACTGCTGACCCACAAACTCAGCAGCAAATGAAAGGGCTGTTATTTTAAGCCACTGAGTTTTGGAGTGGCAAAAATAGATAACTGTTCAGCAGAAATAGACAACAGATCAGTTTCTTACGTGTGGTTTGCCAGATGTACATACTGAGGATCATTTGAGAAGGTGAACCTTCCACACCACAGTTTATTTTATGATTAATTTAGAGATTTAAGAAGGTATAAAAAACCAAAATAGTAATGTCAAATCATGCAGACCCTGCTGTCTTGTGTGACAACCCAAGCAGGAGCACCTGACTGGCTGTGTAGCAGGGGGCCCTGCGGTTGAAACTGGCCTGCTGGAAAGGGGCTGGAGGGAGGACTGGAACTTTCCAAAGTGTTTCCTAGGTCCTAGGACCCCATGAGCACAGACCTATGTGGGAGGATGATTAGACAGTCAGCCCAGGACTGAGGTGCTGAGAAGCATCATTTTTTAAATAAGCTTTAGCAATGCTCCACTTCTCCAGGATGGCTAATGCCAAAAAGAGAAAAGCAGCTCATGAACTTGCATCTCAGTAACTGGACTTCCTCCTCCAGTTCCTCCTTGTGTTAATGGCAGGCTGTTCACCTTATTCCAGCAGAAAAATTCACTTACATTTAGGTTACAATATTAGGAGGACCCATGAGACCAATCATATTTTCTAATTAACATGGCTGCAATAAAATTGAGAATGTTTGTGATCTTTGACTTAGCTCAAATATCTAGTAGATTAGAGTTTGCAAAGTGAATCATTTTGGCAATAACCGTTGTCATAGCCAAAAAAAGAGGGGAAAGATTTTATGACAGAGGACGTGAGAACACTAAAATAAAACACAGATGCAGATACTATCCTTCTTGATTTTGGAAAACAATAATAAGAATTAGAAAAAGAGGAAATGATAGTGCTCTTTAAACTAAATAGGCAGCTTGCATTTTTATTTTCCCTAAAATTTCTTTTCTTAAAAAGATCTCTTATCACTGCTTTAGACTCTCCGGGTACAACATGGAGGAGCCAGTTGTTTGTAATGGAAAAGTCCCGGATTTAAACTCAGCTATTTAGTTCATCATCCTGGCTCTGTGTCTAACCCCACCAGGTGTGCTCAAGTCACTTCACTGCTCAGGGTTTGGCTTCCCCCTTCATCTACACAATGGAAAGGCTAGACTGGATCATATCTGGCAGCGATTTTCAACTGGTGTGTCGCAAGAATTTTTAAAACTTGCAATTCCGGACTATTTAATCTATTAAACTTGCAATACCTGACTAATAATCTATTTAGTCAGGGACACTGCCCGCTTTTCCCTTAGATTGTCAAATTAAAAAAAAAAAAACAACAATAGCCATCTGGTGTGAATGAATCAAAATTATACCTATTTTTTGGTCAGCTTGACAAAAAAATACAATGTAGTTTTTGGTGTTCTACAGAATTTTAGTAAGTAGTTTATTGTGTCATGAGATGAAAAAGGTTGAAAATCGCTGATGTCTGGCATTTTTTCGAGTGGTCTGTCACCTTGTGGTCCTGGAGGGCGACCTATGAACCTAGTGTAGGGTGTGCGCAGACCTGCTTATCTCTTTCAGCCCTGGAATGCAAGGCAAACTGGCATCTCTGACAGACAAATAGTTGTGATAACTACATCTGGCACTTTCAGGGGCTGGAAGTCTCACTGCTTCTTGAGACATCCGATTCCATTTTGCACTGTTCCATGATTGCTCACATGCAGCTGAAATTGGCCTCCCTGTAACTTTCACCCACTGATCCTAGTTCTGCTGTTTGGGACAACACAGAATGAATCAATTCCTTTTCCATGATTGCTTTTTAGGACAACATGTTTCTCCCCTGAGATACCTGTTTCCCATCAATAGCTTCTCTGGTAACTTATTTGGTAAGTTCTTTCATCCTGCCCTATAGGATATGCTTTGGTTTTGCAAAGATGCTTCCAGAAAAAGACTTGCTACTGCTGAACACATTTCCTAAGATACAGGAACCATAAGACAGCCTCCAAAATAATCTCCAGGTATTCCCCTATGTGTAATCCCTTTGGGTGTGGTAGGAACTGTGGCCTTCTGCTAACTAATAGAATATAGCAGAAGCGATGGACACCACTCCCATGCTAACATTACATAAGATTGTAACCTGTCTTGCGAGGAGACTCCCTTGTTAGAGAACTCTCCCTGCCTGGCTTTGAAGAAGCAAGTAGTGATGTGGGGGAGGCCTACAAGGCAAGGAGCTGAGGGCAGCCTCTAGCAAAACCCTGGGAGAAACTGAGCTCCTCCATCTAACCATCTGTAAGTAACCGGATGCCGCCAACACCATGGTAGCTTAGAAGAAAATGTTTCCCCAGTCCAGTCTCAGATGAGACTACAGGCCTGGCTGACACCGTGGGTGCACCCATTTGACAATGAAGCAGAGAACTCCTCTGAGCATGCCCAGACTAGCGGCTCACAGAACACAGGAGAGACCACATGTATTGTTCTAAGTTTCTGTGTTTGTGGTGATGTTGTTATTTAGCAATAGATATCTAATATGCCCTTGATATTTCAAAAAAGGCATTGATTAGACCTCTTTGAATGGGATTAGTTTCCAAAATACAAATTTTCCCTCCAGAAAAATCATTCTAAAAGCAAATGGTGTAAAACCAGCAAGTGAGTCAAATAGGAAGCCCGCTTGTAGTGCTTGCAAATCGTGTACTTAGGTCTCCTACGCAGCAAACCCGTTCCACTGAGAAAGAAAGCTGTCACAAGGAGGCAAGATAAACAGCTAAGTAAGAAAAATGATGCCATTTCTCTAATTGTACACACTTCTTACGTTTCTTGCGTGGTACAGGAAATAATCAAGACAAACTTTCTTTTGCTGGCGGGGAACTATACTTTTTTTATTTCTCTTAGTTAATTTCCTGAAGTCATTTAGGAATAGCCTATTCCAAGTATATCTTCAAACTGAGGTAGCATAAACCATTTTAAGGTCCAAACAATTTATAGGCCAAATGAATATCCTGTGTCACTCTTGTAAATAAAGACAATACGTGAAAAAGGAAATAAAGACCAAAATAACAAAGGCCACTGCTTCCAGAGTCAGGATGTGCTAAAAGCAAAAACCAAAGCCAGGTCTTTCCCACCCTGCTGGAGATGAATTACCAAACTTCTGGAACATGTATGTTTTCCCGGTGCTTGCAGACACACGCCGATAATTCTTAGAAAAAAGTGCCATCACATTTCTAAGAACTCAAGCAAATTCCTATAAACCTAACTATTTTAAACAGCGATGTAACATTTTAAAAATTAGATCTTGGATTTCCAGGACAGTAATCTGTAAATAGTAAGAAATGAAAGATTGTATATCTGGAGACAAGTCACATACTTTATAAAAATGATATCTTGTGAATTTACTTTTCTCTGGGAAAGATGTATACAACCCAGAAAGTCTCATTAGACATAAGAAGTTGCGGTGCAAGGAGGGAGGGGAATAACATAAGAACAAGACAGAAAGCTTCTTCGGTCCCAGACACAATGTCACTATTCTGTGATATGAGTGTTCATGCCCTTGGCTATTATTACATGAATCAAATGGAGCGTTAAAATAAAGAAATGAACCATAACAAAAAGATGGTCTCTTATCAAAACTGGATAGAATTCTATTCTTAGGTGTTAAAAAGAGTTTTTTTTTTTCATTTTACCATTTCATTTACAGTATGCTTAATGGGAAATGCTAAAAATAGGAATGAATACATGAATAACCTTGGTTTTTATGGTTAATTTATTCCATTAATTCTTAGAAAAGAGAGAACTGTGTAGCTAACTACAGAGTTCTATATCTTTCTTGGCTTCGCTTTGTAGTGAATTCAGGCAGAGCAACAGCACTCACTCTTTTCAGTTCCCTCCCTGATGTCAAATTACCCTGGATCACTTACATCTCTATATCCATCCACCGCGTTCCCAAAAATGTCTCCTGCTATGTCTCTACAACCAGCTGGGCAGAATTTGCTAAAAAAAAAAAAAAAAAAGAAAAGAAAAAAGAAAAAGAAAGAAAGAATTTATATTTTATTAAATGATACTTAAATTTAAAAGTATACTTAAAACCATTTTCTCTGCTCTATAGAACACTTTGATGACAAACCAGAAACCCAATTTATGAAAATGCAGATTACTCTAAAATATTACTCTGAAAGCAAGTTTTACACAATAATTTCTGTAATAAGTTGTTGTTTTATATAAGGATTTGTTATAAAACCTTTTAAATAACGGGCTTCCCTGATGCATCTTAATTGATCCTAAGATGTGCAAAAATACTTTTAAGAAAAAAAAGCAAAATTTCTAAACACTATATATTGCAGGATCTTGTTTTTATAAAAAGATACATTTAAAACATATAAAGCAACAACTTATGTTTTCTACGAACGAAAAGAAGACAAGGAATTAGATCTCTGAATACTAGTGGGATTTTGAGAAACTTTCCCTTTCTGTGGTATTTAACTCTGTAATGCCTTGGTTCACTCTACCAGCACAATCCAATGGAAACATAATGAAAACCACATATGTAAATCTAAATGTTCTAGTAACCACATTTTAAAAAGTAGAAAGAGCCTTAGCTGGTGTGGCCCAGTGGATTAAGCACCAGCCTGAGAACCAAAGGTTTGCTGGTTTGATTCCCAGTCAGGGCACACACCTGGGTTACAGGTCAGGTCAGGTCTCCAGTAGGGGGTGTGCCAGAGGCAACCACAGATTTGATGTTTCTCTCCCTCTCTTTCTCGTTCCCTTCCCCTCTGTCTAAAATAAATTTCTTCCTGGCTGATGTGGCTCAGTGGATGGAACCCTGGCTTGAGAACCAAAGGATCACTGGTTCAATTCCTGCTCAGGGAACATGCCTGGGTTGTAGGTCCCCAGCAGGGGGTGCACAAGAGGCAACCACATATTTGATATTTCTCTCCCTCTCATTCACCCTCCCTTCCCTCTCTAAAAAATAAATAAATAAAATATTTTTAAAAAGTATAAGCAAAAAACTAATATTAATAATATATTCTATTTAACCCAATATATTCAAATTTTATCATTTCCGCATGTGATGAATAGCAAAAATCATCAGTGAGGTATATTTAGCCCTTTTTTTTTTGTACCAAGTCGTAAAAATATGCTGTATATTTTATACTTAGAGCACATCTCAATCTAAACTGGCTACAGTTCAGGTGCTTCATAGCTACACATGGCTAATATTCGACAGTGATGGTCTGCATTAGTTATAAATTACTTTTGTAACCACAAAATAAAGGTATATGTACTTTTTAGCTTTACTGAAGTACATCTGACAAAATTGTGATATATTTAAAGTATACATCATGATGATTTATGTCAGCCATCTAAATAACACATCCACCATCTCACATATTTTTATTTATAAATACAGGTATGTGAGAACATTTAGGTCAATTCTTTTAGCAAATTTCAATTATACAATACATCGGTATCAGCTCTAGTCATCCTGTTACACTTAGATCCTCAGAGCTCACTCTTCTTGAAGCTGGAAGTTTGTACCCTTTTACCAACCTCTCCCTACTTCCCCTACATCCCAGCCCTTAGCAACTACTTTTCCACAAGTTTGACGAAAAAGGGTGTATTTTAAAATTAGGATCCCATCTAGTTAACGGTTATTTTTTAAGAAACTGTCCAGAAACCTTTCGTTGCATATGGTGTGGTTGAGGGGCCTAGGGCAGGGTGACCCATGCCCTGGTACTACCTAGCTAGTTGTTGACCCTGATTAGGCACATAATCCCCCTAAATTCAGTTTCCTCATCTGGAGTTCCTCCAAGAGTCTACATATCAATAGGCTGTGAATGACAACAATACATCTGTGGAAAACAAGTAAAAAGAAAGTCAAAATGCTATAAATAGAACAATGGCAACTTTGAAGATGAAGGGCCCAGTGCCCGTTTCTGTACATGCCGAAGTGCGACAGTGTGTAGTCGGTTTGTTTAAAGAGAATCTACCAGCCCAAACACATTCCAAAATAGCAGTTGCTTTGACTTCATTTCCTCTGTTTCCTCCAGCTGACTTAGCAAATTAGATGAGTAACAACATCTAATTACCAAAACTACCCAAATAAATAACTCACAATTCTTTCCCATGGACCTAATGGAGTCCAGCATTGCAGCAATAATCAAGGAATTAAGAAATGAAAACAACAGGGAATCCTGCTACAGGTTTACAATTCCTTACCCTAACCCATAGAGCCTGACGTATTTCAGAATTCAGGCTTTTTTTTTGGTCACATTAATCAGGTATGGCCACCACCTGAGTTGTAAAGGTGTTTTGACTTTGAAGCCTTTCTGCATTTCGCAGTTGCGAGTGAGGGACGAGGAACCTGTGTTAGTCATCCTACCTCATCTCCCCGTAAACACTGCAGAACCACCGGGCCACAGCTTCAATCCACAATTTTCAACCTTTTCATCTCATGAGACACACAAAGTAATCACTAAAACTCTGCAGCATTTTTTGTTGATCTGACAAAGAAATAGGCATGATTTCTATTCATTCACACTGGACAGCTATTGTCACGCCAGGGCCCCTAACTAAATAGTCAGGCATTGCCTGTAAGTTGCTGGCTTTGGCGATCTGGAACCATAACCTCACTCTGTTGGCCTCAGTATATTCCTTTTGTTAGGGGGACAGAAAACGATCACTAACGCCCAGAGGCCCTGTCACCACGGGCGGGCGCTGCACAGGTAGGGCTGAAAGACCTGAGGGAATGTTGGCAGATATCTCAACATGGGATGCATGGCAACTTTACAGGCATTAATTATTTAATTACTAGTCATTTTTACTTTTGTTTTTTCTCTAGCAGACTTAATAGTAACACTAGAGTTTATTTTGCATATAAAATAATCTCATTTATTAGAATGTCTGAGACGATTAGGACCATGGATTCCTGAGCCTGATGCTGGGTACACTTATTAAGTGTGGAGTCCTGGATAAGTTGCAAAACTTAACTGCTTTGTGCCTGTTTTCGAGGTATAAGAGAACCTGCCTTGCAGGCATGTCGGAACACTCACATGAGCTGCTTATATGCTACATCCAGACACTAAGCACCTGGCACCAAGAGAGCACTCTGAGGAGTTATAGCTGGTGTTAGTGTTGTTGGCAATGATCTCTAGACCAGTGGTTCTCAACTGGGTGTGAATTTTGCCCACAGGGAGATACTTGGCAGTGTCTGGAGACATTCTGGGCCATCACACTGGCACACAGAGGCTAGGAGCCAGGGTTACCGCTGAACATCCAACAGCGCACAGAACAGCACTTCCCAGCAAAGAATCATCCAACCCCAAATACCAATGGTGCCAAGGTTGAGAAATCCTGCTCTAGGCTCTTCTACTTTACAGATGAGGAAATGCACATCAAAGAGATTAAGTGATCTTCCCAGTTAAAGCTGGGATGCAAGTTTTCATCTGCTGTTCTCAGTAGGTTTCCATTTTGTGGGCAAGACAAAGTCAGCATCCTCTGAAAGTTAAAGAATTAACAGAAGTCACTCCTAAAGGCAGGCCAGGTAAAAAATGCGCTCTGGCATGAGAGTAGGACTCAGGGAGCAGCAAACTGCAGCTCCAGGGCGAATCCAGCCTGCTGCTTGTTTTTGTAAACAAAGTTTCATCAGAACACAGCCCTGCTCATTTGTTTACTGATAGTCTATGGCAGCTTTTGCATTACAGTGGCAATGCCAGCTATGTGAATAGATGCAAAAGAGACTGCAATGGTTTGCCAAACCCAGATATTTACTATCTGGCCCCTGACAGAAAAGGCTTGTGGACCTCTGCTACATAAGAAACCATGTCAAACATTCCTTGTGAGTTACAACATGGATAGCGTTTTTAAAAAATTAAGTACAAACAATATCTGGTTTGATGTGAAGGAAAACAACATGTTCACATGTTCACAACATGTGGCTGCAGCGTGGCCAGAACACCGATACTTACCCGTATTCCGTCTTCGAGTAATGGTTAGCTCGTTCCAAACATGTAAGTAAATCTGTCATAAAGACAATTGTAATCAGCGGGCTGAATGGAAGTTAGGATACTCCTGCTGAACAATTTCTTTTAAAATAAAAAAGACGATTTTTAAAAAGCATTTATTCATTATCTAGCTATGCACATTTCTCTGTTTGAAAATCAATCAAAACTGAGCATAATGCCCTCAGGATTCAACAGTTCCCTTCAGTTCTCTTTTCCACCCCCCAGGGCCGTGTTTCAGGGGTTGTCCAGTGAGCGACAACAGAAACCATTTCCAATATAAAAAGCAACATGGGTAGTTACTGTCCACTCTGTGCCTACAAAGATCATGTGTCTGACCTCCCTTCACAGAAGGCAAACAGTTTTAAAGCCCAAAGTGGTTCATAGAGATGGTTCAGGAACATTGTAATTTAACAATTTAGCTAGTAGAGTGACTCAAGAACCACATGTTTACCAAGAGCACGAACAGCCTCTTCACTTTGGTCAGTAAGGACCAAGGACTTAAAACGAGGGTGCTGTTTGGGAATGGAACCAACAGAGATGCTAAGATACCATAGATTTTGATGCATTTATGTCAGCCTAGTATAGTTTTCAAAATATTCCACACTTGCTGCAATAGTTCTTCCTTTCTTTAATCTTTCCAACAGGGAGCAACATATGGTGAACACTGGCCAAGCTGGGACCTGTTGGGATTGGTGAGATTTCACTGGCTGAGTGGGAAATGAACAGTGCCCCCCTTCCCAGAGTACTTCTGCCAGGTGGGAGTGAAAACAGAAACTGGGCACCTCTGTGCCCTGGGCCAACAGAGAGTAGACTGCACGGTAATTCCGCTGGGAAACAAGAGGCTTGGACAGAGCCCAGGTGTCCCTTCTCATCAGTGTTCCTGCTTCCCTTTTCTCCTGCTCAGGGGTCAGCTGCATGGTTAGGGGACTCTGTGCTAGTGACTACATCCTGCTCAGACTCACATGGCCCATGCTGGTGCACTGGGGTGTGTGTGTATGGTGGGAACTGGATAAAAAGCTTGTCCTGTGCTAAGAAATGGGTGGATGGAGGACTACAGAGAATAGCCAGACCTTAGAAGGGTCAGGACAGTAGCCCCAAGGATGGTCCACCCGAAGTTACTAGGAAAATGAGATCAACTATGTTCCACATAGGTCAGTGGCTCAATCTAACGTTCTACAAAACGGTTGCATTCCTCTCTTCCCTCCCATCTTAATTCTGTATCTGAGAGCATTGCTATGTCCAGAGATAGTGATAAGTAGCAAAAGAAATTCTTAGACAGATAAAGGTTTACAGATTTGTGTTGATTCTTCTGCTATACCTGGATGGTCACTGCTGGCATAGGTCAGCAAAAAGCCCCGCCCAGAAGTGTGGGATCCACTCACAAAGCGAACAGTTACTTCACTTGAGTTCAGCAAGAGTACTTTGGGAACATTCATACTTCCACAATATGGTCCTATAAACAAAGCACATTTTGGCACATTTCAAAATTTAGCACAAAGAATTGGCATATGGCACTTTTTCTCTTTAAGGTCAAATTTACCAGACAATACATACGTAAGATTGTAATCATCACTCGACTGGAATTTTGGGTAATATTGAGACTAACAGTGAACCTGATTATACGGACAAGCCAAGGGGGAAAAGCGGCTAACTGGATACATAACAGGCTAGAACTAGTTAATTGTGAACTAGCCAAGAGACAGGTTTGGGGTTTTGTAAAAATAAGACCAACAAAGTTCAGACATATTAGGTAGTGGAGAAAATGATCACAAAAGCGATATTCTAGGGGCCTTCTAAATTTGCTTAAAGTACTGTTTCAATGTTTGTGTCCCCTCAACATGCATGCATTGAACTCTCAGTGCCACCGTGTGATAGTGCCAGGAGGCAGGCCCTCCGGGAGGCGTGCAGGGAGCAAGAGTGGAGCCCTCATGAGATGAGTGCCTTCACAAGGAGGCCCCTGAGAGCTTGCTTGCCCCTCTCCCCTGTGCAGACACAGAGGGAAGGCTATGAACCAGGAAGTGGGCCCTAACCAGCCACTGTACTGATCTGCCAGCACTGTGATCTTGGACTTCCCAGCCTCCAGACTGTGTAAAATAGATGTCTGTTGTTTTTAAGCTATTCAGTCTGTGGTATTTTGTTACTGACCAAAACAGGTAGTAAAGAAAATGTCATCACAAAAAATATACTTTAGGGGCCTCTTGAATTTGCTCAAAGAAACTGACAAATTCCCTTTTTAAAAGGAGGTTCCAGAATCAAAAGAATATTTAATGCATGGTAAACATAGTCTCATGCAGTTTATAGATTTATCTCTCTCTCAGGGTAGCTTTTGGTTAATCCATATAACTTATTTTGATTTGTGAAGTAAATTTCATAATAAAGCAGAATAATTTCTAAAACCTTTTGAAATCCTATAGTAGAAATTATGTAATTAAGAGTATTACATATTATTTCTAGAATAAGTTGCTTAAAAAGCAATAGGGAGCTTAATGACTTTTCAAAGCACAAAATTAGATTTGAAGCTAAACAAAAAAATAAAACACCTTCCTAAGACTACTAAAGTTACAGTTTAGTTTGTAAATTGTTATCTTAAGAGTCATGCATGCAAGACAGTAATTTCTCTGAAAATGGGGATTAGCAAGCAGGCTTTGAAGACAGGTATTTTTCATCGACTTTCCCCAAAATAAAATAGTACGGGAAGAGTCAACAACAACAATAACAGTATCAGCTTAAGGATGGAGGAGGGAAAGAAAAAGACTACCCTAACTCAGCCTGAAGGCAACAGAACACTAGCTAAAACGAACTTAGAGATCAACCTGCTGAAAGATTCAGGTGAGCACCGTGAACTTAACTAAGCATTCCTCTCCTGATACGAGACAGAATTTCTCTTCTGTTCTGTCTTGGTCTCACATCCTGAGATGTGAAAGAGCGAGAGAGAAATGCTGTGTGTTTACCTTCATGCCCCAAATCACTGTTGTTCCCTATGTTTAAATTTCAGCAAAATCTGAATAAAAAAGATGACTTCCCTCTTTAGAGACACTCATCATGTATAATTACTTACATGAGTTAATACTTGGAAATTACTTAGAAGATGACCTAGCACATAATGAGAGCTATGTAAGTACTTGTGAAATAAGTAAGTGAATACACTAAAACAAACAAACAAACAAACAAACAATACTGTCTGTTTTCCTTTGAGACTGTGTCCTGTGCGGTTAGGAAGTTCTCTATCACTTTATTTCCAGCAGCTCATACAGTATCTGGCATGTGGTGGACTTTCAGATACTCTTTGAATTGAAATAAAGTTAAATGTTCTTCCATTTGCAACAGTCTGTTCTTAAAAATCAAATCTGATGATAAAGATACATAAAATATTTCATTCTGCCATTTTAAAATATGAAGAAGTCTGGAGGAGAAGTGTGGAAAAGCAAGAGAGGAAATCATTGGTGTAATAGATACATGGATTTTTATGAACAGTAATAGCACTCACAAGCAGGGTAGGTCGGCAATTTATACTAAATCCATTTTTGTATAATAAAGTAGAATGATAAGTATTTTTGCCCAATTAAAGTGAGTTGGATTACTGCACTTGACTTTTGCAGCTTATTCTGTTTGTTTACCTATGTTTGAAATTTCTTTGTTTTTTGCACAGATAAGTGAAGATACTTGTTTTACAAAGCTAAGAATAAAAATGAAATAATTAGTAAATTGTTGCTATTAATAAATCAAAATATTTTTTAACCACACGTGTCTTTTCCTAGAGGAAATAAAAACATATGTACTCCTTTCCAAATGGTGATGATACTAATTTCTCCTTTAATTTCTATGGAATCCCAATAAGTTCTAAAAAAAAATGAGGTAAACAAGTCTAAATTGATCATCACTGAGGACTTGTTTGGATTTTTATTTTTTGTAGTTAAAATCTATTTGACATATAACATTGTGTGGAATTAAGGTGTAAAACATACTCATTAAACATTTATATATTTTAATATGATCATCATTGTAAGAATGATTTGCATCTCAACCGTGTTACATGATTATCATTTCGAGTGATTGGAATAATTAAGTTCTAGTCTCTTAGGAAGCTTCATGGTTACAACACAACATTGTTTTCTACACTCCCTATACTGTGCATTACATCCCCATGCGAGGGCTCATTTACTACTTGTAGCAAGTTTGTGTCCTAAACTACATCTGTCCTACCCCCCAACCCCTCCTCCCCTGGGGACCACTATTTTATACTGCTTTTTATCAGCGTAGCTTTTTTAGATCCACATATGTGATATCATACAGCACTTGACTTTCTCTGTCTGATCTCACTTAGTATAATAGGCTCAAGGTTCATCCATGTTCTTGAGAATGGCAGGATGTCCTTCTTTCTCATGGCTAAGTAATTAGATAATTTTTCACAGTTTTGTCGTCGTTGAAAGGAAAGGTGGCAACATCGTGTGTATTTTACACAAACAGGTAAGTGTGTATGCCATACTAAATTGTGGTACAATGCAAATAATTTTCTAGGCCAAAAAACACATATAGTAAAACTCTATAATTTGGTTGCATCCTCCCAAATTCATGACAGGCATGCAAATATTTCTGGAAGGAGTTAAAAGAAAGAAAATGTAAGGACACACATTCTTCTAATCACCCTCGCCCTCGGGGCATGAATCCCTGTCACATTCTTGTCAATATGCTGCCAAAATGCTACTGCATTCTGGAGGGAATGGGATGTGTGTACCCTCTCTGTATAAATGCCACCAGTAACACCTGCTCCGACGGACAGGCTCAGCACGGTACCACCATCACAACGGCAGGAGGCAGTTTCAGTCCAGGGTGGGGACAGAAGTCAAGTAATGGCTGCTCTATTGTCTGTGGCAAAACCAAAACCAAAACCAAACAAAATCCCAATCACGGCCTATCTGAAAGTCTGATAGACAAAGATTCCTTTTCACAGACTGGAAGTCAATAATTGCATTCCTGGAGTTAAAAGGGAAAAAGATGAAAATAGAAAAATCTGAGTGTCAGTGAGAGGGAAAAGCAATTCATGGGAACCCCCTGAAGGACCCTACCAGTTTGTCCTAAGCAATGCTCTCGGTTTTCAGCCAGACTCCGTAGGGATGACCTTTTCTTACGAAAGCCTTTCTACACCCACTCTTGCCCAAATGATATAGTTCTCCGTTAGTCCTCTCCATCCTGACTTTTAAAAAAGGGTTTATACTTGCACTTAAACATTCCCAAAGACAGTATTATTAGAAACCCAAATGACAACTTGGTGACTTCTAACTTTGACCACGGTTCTAGTCTCCATCCTGGGCGGTGTTCCTGGGTTGGTAAACCTGCCTCAGTTCACAGTCAGGCTGACCCCCAGCCCTTCTTGAGTGGGTCTTAAGAACTTCAGCAGACCTAAAAGTATGACTCACAGTTCTGCTTCACTACTGCTGGCGCTATGTTATATAGAACTTGGACTTGAAGTCTAAGTCCCACGGTCCCGAATTCCCTCAGACTGGGGCATAGCAGAAAGGCACTTCATCAAGTAGGCACAAAAATCAGGAGAAACAAATACTTCGACCTTTTGTGGAATGTAATTGTAGGCCCGGATTGTGGGAAGAGCTATCAATGATTCCAAACGGAACAGCACTGTGGCATCTGGCACCTGACTTGAGGCCAAGGCCTAACAGACAATGGCCTGATTTCTTGGACAAAAGGAATAAAGGGCCAGGAGCCACAGCTCTGAATACAGCAGGCTGGTTCTTCTCAACATATCCCTTGTTTGGACCCACTGTTCCATGTGCAGGGGAGAGGGGAAACCCTTTATCTTTCCATGTGTGAATAAAAGGAAACTGTCCACCAAGGAAGAATGACCTTTTGCCTGGAGGTAAGCCCCAAGCCCTCTTGCTTCTCTGGCAATTGAAAAATCCAGGCAGCAATTTCTAGTACTGCTCAGTTCTCCATGGATTGTCTGCCTAAGTCTCTACCAGGAGGATCCAAAATTTTGGCGTCTCTACACCACACTGGAAGAAGAGTTGTCTTGGGCCACACATTAAATACATTGCAACACGTAATCACAAAAAAAGTCTCATCATGTTTTAAGTAAATTTACGATTTTGTGTTGGGCCACATTCATAGGTGCATCCTGGGCCACATGTGGCCGGCAGGCCACAGGTTGGACACCTCTGGACATTGCAGGAAGTAACAGCTTGGTTAATAAATGTTCCAAGTCACTTTAGGTGTGTCTATGCTTTTGAGCTTGAAGCTGATGAAACTAAGTCACCGGTACTGCTTCATCTGTGAAAGGATGTGTTTCAAAAATGGATGCATACTGTTAGAAAGAGAGAGAGCCTCCCCCTGCATAACCACTCTCTCAGTGGCGAAAAACCTGGAGACCAAATAAAAACCTAACTCCTGAGAGGTTTGTCATAAATCAAACAGCAAAAAATCCCCCTAAAAACCTTCATT